CTCATTGGATAAAGATGAAATCAAACTGAAAATTGTGAAACTTTTACTAAGCAATTACTTTAAGATAATTAAATCTGTACTCAAAAATGTCTTGCTGCACAAACTTCAGGCCAATCTATCTTAAAAATTCCAGGAATAGATATTCCCAATTTCTTTCAATATGATTCTGGAAAAAACTAAAGCTATCTGATCCATTTTATGATACTTGTATTACCTTATAACTAAAACCAAAAACACATGGGAAAAAAAATTATAAGCCAATGTAACTTACAGACAGATGAAAAATATCTGAAGCAAAGCAAAAGTGCACAGAATAATACATCAGGAAAAAGTACACTTCATCCAGAAATATGTGGATGTTCAACATTAGAAAATGTTTTCAACTAATAAATCACATTAGAAAATTTTAAAAAATTTTAAATTTTGCCCAGGCCAGTCTCAAACTCCTGGTCTCAGTGATCCTCCTGTGTGAGACACCATGCCTAGCCCTGGAGTTCTTTGAATGAGGGAAATTAGAGAGGTTTAAGCTGGTATTATGGGATCATTTATAAAAATTATGATTAAACCTTTTTTTCCTATTTTAGGGACTGCCAATTTCCATGTATGGAGGCACCATAATACCTTCTCATCCTCAGCTTGCTGATGTTCCAGGAGGCCCTTTGTTTAATGGACTTCACAACCCAGATCCTGCTTGGAATCCTATGATAAAAGTTATCCAAAATTCTACTGAATGCACTGATGCCCAACAGGTAAAATGGGCTTAATGCTCTTTTATTTTTCAGATTTGTCATGTCGTTCTTTTAATTCTGTGGATAGTGCAAAAAATTCTGAATGTCAAAAGTCGTGAACCAACCATTTTGATCTGAATTAAGTTTTTCAATATCAAGATGATGCTACTAAACATTTTATTTCATGCATGTGTATTCTTCATAGGCAGAAACAGTGAATTGCCATTGCATTTATATATTCATTTTGTAAATGTCTAAAGATTCCTAATTAGAAATTCCAATTTTTCCTCCCCCTTTTCAGATTTGGCCTGGCACGTGGGCACCTCATATTGGAAACATGCATCTCAAATATGTCAACTAAGTTAGAAGGTCTTAACTCTTTAGCCTTGTTTGAGAAATCTATGACTTTGGAAGAACCCTGGGGATTTTTTTTTTTTTAATGTGCCTAACTAAGAAATTTTCTCTGAGCAATGGAAATTTGATTGTCCATTGTATAAGAACAAACTGATTCCTATCCACCTGATTATGTTCTCTGGTTAGTTTAGCCATTTTGAACTTAAGATCAGATTGAACTTCGTGCTTTTGGCTAAACATACTGAATGCTACTTGTATGCAGACAAGAATTAGTTGATTACATATTTCAACCTTTTACGGTGGTAAATACATGTATAATTGTTTACATACTTAAAAGGAAAAAGTTGAGTAAATTTCTTGTCATATAGTGGCTCTACTTAATGTAGCCTGTATTAATGTGAAATATTTACCAGAATATTCAATAAAAAGATGAACAGTGTTTAGAAGTGGGGTGTGATCCTTTCAGTGGTCATGCAGGTACCACCCTATCCACATCATAATGAACCAGATCGTTAATGCTGTATTTGTAACAGGCTTCTCACATTTTACACTTTAGAGTCCATTCTTAGACTGCCTTGAAAAAGCACTTTTAAGACTAGATTTCTATTTATTCTGTGTTAAACGTTCCTTGTTCCCTTGTTGTCTTCTGTATCATTTTACGTGTGAGAAAGTTTCAAGCCCTGGCAATGTGTCTTAACTTTAGCAGATAGGCCACTGATAGGTTTTGCTCCTTATAGATCATGAGATTGTCAGTAAGAATAATTGGATTTAAATCAGATGACACTAAACAAACTGAAGAACAACCAAATCATCAACTTTAGGTTCCTTTGGTGCTTCCTGATTTTTTTTTTTATCTAAAAGATTTATTTGATTATAGGTGTTTTAAGTTTTATTTGCGTTAAGACATAAGAGGGGGGTGACTCCTGTCATTCTGTTGTATTGTTGAATCAGCTGAGTAATGTTTATAAATATGTGACTTATTTGGGGCTTAGTTCCATGGCCCCAAGTATGAAGAGCCAGTATGTTTAACAAGGTAAACACAGGAACACTGGGATGGGTTGTTTTGGACAAACTATAGGCTATGCCAAGAATCTGATGCAATAAAGAAGGAAAAGTTATCCCACTGAAAATTATAGTCATCAACTTATTTGTGTTTTAATATAGCTGAATTTCCTGGTTTTATCTATAGGCAATATAAAAAGAAAAGAAAATGTTTGAGGCTGATAGAAAAGCCAAAACTTATCAAGGCAAAGGAGGATGCACAGAAAAAGAGTAGTAACTAGAGGCAGCAGCATACTAGCAGCACTTTTCTATTCTTATGCCAACAGAAATTCTTGATCTTCTCTGCCCAGGTCCTAAAGCCAGCATCAGGTCAGACACACTATGTTTGTTCTATATTAGACATAACCTGGTTCTTTTGTCTTCCATATCATCTTACATATAGGAAAACTTCCTTAAGCTTATTTCTTATTTTCTGTTTTGAATGGATTTGGAAAGTGTCACTGGTGTTGAAGCTACTGACTTTGTAGTGATCAATAACCACATCAAGTATTCTCAAGAGGCCCCCTGACCTTTGCGGGAGGGACTAAAGACCCCCTTAGATCACCTACATATATTGTTGTTTCCACTTACCACTAACAACCAAAAAATTACCTAAAATTAGTGAAATGAATGAAACTACTCTTGATGAAATATACACTAATGAGAGATAATATTTAGTAAATTATTCAGTGAGACAAAAAGGTGAGTTTTATTCTATCTTAACTATCTACACTGTATTTTTTTTTTTTTTTTTTTTTGAGACATAGTCTGACTCTGTTGCCCTGGCTAGAGTGAGTGCCGTGGCGTCATCCTAGCTCACAGCAGCCTCAAACTCCTGGGCTCAAGCGATCCTACTGCCTCAGCCTCCCGAGTAGCTGGGACTACAGGCATGTGCCACCATGCCCGGCTAATTTTTTCTATATATTTTTAGTTGTCCAGATAATTTCTTTCTATTTTTTTAGTAGAGATGGGGTCTCGCTTTTGCTCAGGGTGGTCTCGAACTCCTGAGCTCAAACAATCCGCCCGCCTCGGCCTCCCAGAGTGCTAGGATTACAGGCGTGAGCCACCACGCCCAGCCCTCTACACTATATTTTAATTGTCTGGAGGAGCCCTTAAATTCATACTCTGTGTCTTGAGGACAACAGAATGAGAAACTTTATCTCAGGTCAGGAACAAAAACCCATGAAAGGAAAGGAGGCAATTATGAGGAACTTTTAGGAGAATTGGGAAGAAACAGCAGTTGTGCAGTTGGGAATAGTTCTTTGGGATGCTATCCTCCCTTCCCTCTTACCAGCACTTGCTTCTTTTCTTTCTGACTATTTGGATCTCAGTAGCTTACTCCCAACCTCATTTCGCGTGCTATAATCTCTTCTTCCTCTGCCTGCCTCTTCCTGGCATTACTTTACTACTATTTTACCAACTTCAACATTGGATAAAACCTAGCTCAGGTAAGAACTCAATTACTTTCAAAATATACAAGGGATATGGGGGGAGGAAGCATGGATACAGTGGAACAACAGTAGTCAGAAGCCTAAATTCTATTTTCATTTCTGCCACTGAAGCTCTATGACCCTACACAAGTCATTTCACCTTTCTGGGCTTCGTTTACCTCATCTGAAAATGAAATTGAACTTAAATGAACTCAAAAGAGTCTTCTAGTTCTAACACATGTTTTCTTCTTTTTCTTGTGAATGAGAATATAATGTATAGGAATATTGGAAGCCATTAGAATTTTTACAGTGCTGTGGTTTGAGAGCCCTTAGCATTGGTTCTGATAAGGAATCAAAAGCTTGCTGTTGTGGAAGCCCATATTGATTTTGAGATTTTAGTGGAGGCTGAAGAAAACTTTCCATATCCATAGTGAGCCCTCAAGTCATTAAGAGACATCTTGCTAAGGCATAGATCAAACCCTGTGAGAATAAATACCTCTTTCAAGGAATAAAACTATATCATCAAGGTTTCTGGACCCACTTATTTCAAATAGTGTTCAATGTAATAAAATTCTACCACCAATAAAATTATTGATATTTTAAGACCCTTTAAACCTATTGTGGCTACAGTGTGCTGACTTGCCCTTTTATAGGCCAGTCTGCTTCCTTCAGTCCCTGCTCTCAAAGGGGAAATCCCATCACCTCAGCTAACCAGACCGAAGAAGAGAGTTGGACAGCCAATGGTGGCCTCTCCTAACCAGAGGTAAGAAATCTCAGGACTTGAAATTACAGTTTCCATCTGTTCATGTAGATTCTGGCCAAATCCCGTTCTAAACCTCAATACTAGTGTAAGAGGAGACCATCCTTGGTTTGAGTTAGCTTATAGAAGGGGAAAGGCTTGTCACATTATAGTTTCAAGCCAAACAAAAAGGAGTACTTAGTATAGGTGGTTCTATCCAACTGTTTTAAGACCTTTGGACCACGTTATAAACCCAGGAAGAGGCAAACAAGCCTGTAGGGAAACAGCTGCTGAACATCTTGTTCTCTGACTAGCAAGAAGCACCTCTACCAAGAAGTGTGGCTGGTTGTGATGTGCTCCTAATGGACCCTGTCCTGGGGTGAGGGGTTCTGATAATGCTGCATTTTCTATTCATCCTCAATGATTTGTCATTAGCCAACAAGCAGGTTCCTTCACCTTCACTCTCCTGTAGGCAATGGGTGAGAGAAAGGTGGTTTTAAGTATCAAAAACTTAAGCGTGTTAAGACTACCTCTCATAAAGGCCATAAGCCTGGGCTTCAAGAACTAATTTGGAAAACAAGGTTCAGATGATCTGATTGCAAACCTGTTTTGTAATTACTGTTCACATTCCTGTTTTATCGTAATAGTATTGGTTTGAGTCCAGAGCAATTTGCCTGGTAGCAGAGACCTGGTATTTCCTTATAGGTTTAATCATATCTCTGGGGGTAGGACCTGGGCATAGGTATTTTGTTTTTAAAGCTTCCATGTTCTAATGGGGAAATAGTATTGGCCCTCTGATTTAAACTCTTGTTCCTTCATCCAGGTTGCATGGATAATGAATCTGGCTTTCTCTCTAAAGCCAAATACCTAGTCCCCAGCCCTTACAGCACACAGTGTCTCCAGAAAAGTTAACCGCAAGCAGTAGTCATTATAGTAGTAGTAATTGCTGCTGCTGTTTTGTAGTAGAGATTAGTGGAAGGAAGACCTCACTTCCACACTGATCCTTCTTGAAAACCTTTCACACTTCTCTCCTACTCCTCCTTTTTTTAACTGGTCTTTCTCAAGTCTCTTGATGAATCCTGTTTCTTTACTACCCCTTTAAATAAATGTTGATGTGCCCATGCCTCCTCTTATACTGTATCTTTTCCCCAGTGATCTCATCCCACTCTCTTGGATTTCACTACACCCAAATCGGAGTCACTAACCCAGGGTTCTCCCCCTGCACTTGAAACCAATAATATGCCCATCTTCTTGTTTTCTCTATTGTATTAATTGGGACTACTTAGCCACCAAGACTCTCAAGCCAAAACATTGAGAATTATCCAAACACCTTCCTTTCCCTCACCCCCACCCTTAATCAATCATCTTACTCTTCCTCCTCTGTGTTTCTGAAATCTCATCCACTTCTTTCCATCCCCGTAGCCATTTGCCCTTTTTCCCACCTGGTTTTATTGGGTTGGACTCCCCACCTTCAGTCTCACCATCCTCTACCCCATTTCCCCCATCAGACTACTTTATCACCTTGTGTAAAAGCTGAGTTATCCAAAAAAAAAAGCTGAGTTATCTTAAATGGCTCTCCGCAATCTGCTTGCAAGCCTTACCCTCCAGCCCTGCTAAAACACTTCATTTAGGCATGTACCATTTTGTAAGAGACTCAAAAACCTTTTTTGGGCACAGAAAACGTACATACCCTTGCTACCCAGAATGTGATTCTGAGGACTTGAGGCATCTGCATTACCTGGGATTGCATTAAAAATCCAGAATCTCCCCCACAGACCTACTGTATCAGAATTCTCATTTTAACACGATCTCCACATGATTTATATGCACATTAAAGTTTGAGAAGCACTGATTTATAAAATACAATTTTTTAAAAATGAGTAAAGAAATCAGAGCTAAGGGAAAATATGGAATGAGAGCTGAGGTCGTATTGATAAATGCATGTAAATAGTCCACTTAGTTTTTTGGGGGTGGGAATGAGGCAGTACTGATTTTGAGGAAGCCAAACAGAGGACAACTGGATGAAATCAAGATTTTTAGTGTGTATAGGTACTAGACGTAGTACTTAACTCTTCTACCGTGTCTCCAGCCTATCATTTTGTGCCTGCATCAAAAAATCTTATCTCCAAGGCCAAACTCTCTCGACTTTCCTTTTCTGAAAGCTAAAGACCAAGCCCTCCTCACCAGCCCCCTGCCCTTCCTTAGTTAGAGGTCAATGGACAAGCTTCCCCACTGGTGCTGCCTCATGTACCTTCCCCTATCCCACAGCTTTTACTTATCTTTTAATTAAATTAGTACAGGTATCACTTCTTCAGAAAGCCGGCCAGCCCTCCCTGACCTTCCCCTTCCTGCTGTGCTCCAGGCCATTTTAGGTGCCTTTCAACATGTCTATTATTGTTTATGGAAGGCAGTACACAGCTGTGCTGAAAGGGCACAGGCTCTCGAATCAGATGCACTGAGGTTTGAATCCCAGCTTCCTCTCCTAGGGGATGCATGACTTTGGCTACTAACCGTGCTTTGCTGTCCAAACTGCTGCAAGGGATGGATGAGTTAATACTGGACAGCAACACTTGCCTTCCCTCGCCTGCCCCCAGTGCCCAGCTGTAGGCAGTAAATAGCTGAGCTGCTGCAGCACTCAGAGGCAGGTTGTCCAGTGCTAGGCCAGGAGGAACTGGAGGTCAGTGTGGGGCCTGGGACTCAGACCCTTTCCAGCTTTCTCTGAGCCAAAGCTTGGTCCGTAGCGGGTAGGGCGGGGCCACCAGGTTGAATGACGGCACGTGTCCCGCCCCGGGCGTGACGTCGTCCTAGTGTTGTTACCCGCGGCTGCACGTGGTCGGCTGAGTCCGCCTCAGACTGAGCACTGCTCCGGGACCTCAGCACCAGCTGGTTACATTCCTGCTTCTCCTCGCTATGTCCACGTCCACAAGCTGCCCGATTCCCGGGGGTCGGGACCGGCTGCCCGACTGCTACAGCACCACGCCGGGGGGCACGCTATACGCCACTACCCCGGGAGGTCAGCTGGCCGGGCCGGGGTCCGCTGGCTGCGGGCAAACCAGCGCGTGCGTGCTATCGTGGGGCGGGGGTGTGCATTTGCGGGCCTTGGACGCGTGCGCAGGCCCCTCTGCTGCTTGTAGCTTTGGGGAAGGATGTTTGGAGCCAAAGCTCAGTTACCAAAAACCTTGAAGTGATGCAGCAAGGCCATGAGCCTAGCTTCCGGGTATGTGGATGTAATCCTTCACAGGGGTCTGGGTTCTGGGCACCTTGCGCATGCTCCCACCCCTCGTGACTTTGCCTCCTGGGTGTAGGAGCCGAGACCCCTAACTGAGCGTGGCCTCAGCAGGAAGCACTGGGCCTTGCAAAGCTAGAGCAGCTGGGGGTGGGTGCTCCGTTTACGTGCAGCTGGCTGGCGGCTGTTTGGTTGGGCCAGCAGTCTGGGATCACGAGCTGCTGGGCTCCCGACCCAGAGGTTCCTGCCACGTGGGAGGGGAGGGGAGAGAACAGGGTGGGGCCTTTTGAGGACACCACACAGGCCAAGTTCCTCTGGGCTAGGCTGAGCCTTATAGGATAAGAACAGCACGTCCCTGTGTTTCACTGGGAACGCAGCTCCTCCCTGCAGGAGATAATAGCCCAGGTGGTAACACTGGGTGAAACCCTTCACAACTGCTGTTTGGCTTCTTGATCCAAGTGAGCCTAGGCTAGGCCCCATCTTGTGAACCAAAGCAAGGAAGTTCCAGAGCAGTAGAGGAGCAGCATGAAGTACCTGAGCTCCAAGTTTGGTGCTCTTCTTAGAGCTAAGACCTGATGCTACCCCAAACCTAAAGCCCCTACCTGAACCAGCTGGGATGCCCCACTTGCTTTATGGTTTTTAGCCACATCTTGGTTAGGCCTGGAAGACTTTTAATTGCTGTGAAGGCTTGTCAGTTAAGATCCTAGCAGGACTGCAGAGCAGATGCCCTTTGATACACAGGGAAATGTGACACCACTACCCACAACCCCCAGTTCCCAGAAGGCCTGCATCTGGGGCTCCAGTGGCCTCTGTACCCAAACTCCTCTTACCTTAGCCCCTACCCCTTGACAGGCACCAGGATCATCTACGACCGAAAGTTCCTGCTGGAGTGCAAGAACTCACCCATTGCCCGGACACCCCCCTGCTGCCTCCCTCAGATTCCCGGGGTCACAACTCCCCCAACAGCCCCACCCTCCAAGCTGGAGGAGCTGAAGGAGCAAAAGGAGACAGAGGAAGAGATACCCGGTAAGGAAAGCAGGAATTAAGAACTGCCCCAGCCTTTGCGTTCAGATGCCCTTGTGAAAGTACAGTGGGGGTTTGTTTCCAAGAGGGGTTTCTGCACTGATGCTGTGAGCCTGCAGACTTTCAGACTAGCAACCAGTCCTCCTGCCTTTTCTCTCTCCAGATGATGCACAATTTGAAATGGACATCTAATCCAGTGCAGATGACCTTGTGTGTGGAGTTATAGAGGGATCCCTCAGCCACTGCTGCCACCACCTCTTCTGGGGTATCCAAAGGCCAGCTGGCCTCATCTAATCTGGAAGGGAGTGATTTGTTGGTTCTGGGCCTCCTTTAGTTCTGAAGCAGCTAGACCAGGGATAGGAGTGGGCCACTTGCCAAGCCCTTGGCTCTTCTTAGGGGCTGGGACTGTGGGGGATGGACTATGTCACCTTCTGGCTGCTTAGTAAACGTTCAGAGAAATGCCTTGGCTCCAGTGTTCTCCTCAATGCTGATCTCCCCATTTCAGCCATATAACTGAGGGCCCCAGGTCCATTCATTCCCAGCTCCCACCAGGCCTACTTTTTACCAGCAATGAGGCAGGCTACTGGAGCTGCCAAACCACAAACAGCGATAGCCTGCCCCTTGCCAAAGGCTGTTCCTGTCTTTCCAGGAAGCAGCATTCCTGGAACTGAGCCTCCCCTGTAGCTCCTCCCCTATCAAAGTAGGACTTTTGGAAAAGAGGTGCTATCCCTGCCTATAGTCATTCCCAGTCTTTCCCCAGTGCCTTTTCTGCTTCTCACCAGTCCCCCTATTCCAACACTGAAAACATTGTAACCTCCCTTCTCACAAGATGATCTCCACCAAGGACCTCTCTGTCCCTTTCCACTCGGCTCTGTTCTCAAAGGGTTAGAATAGACTTTAGGGCCCACGTTGAAGGCCAATATGAGGCAGATGCTTATGTGGTGAGTCAGATAAAGTTATGATCCCAAATCTCAGTAATCTGGTCTTTTTATCCTTCAGTTTACACAGCAAAACCCCCAATGTGGTTCTAATCTCTGTGGCACCTATATATATATACCTCAAGGGTAATACAGTGCAAACAGGACAGTCTTTACTTTTTGTCCAGGGAAAAGTCTCCCCATGCTATTTGAGCCTGTTCTCAGGCTGAAATGAAATCATCCAAAGACGGGGCTGTTCTGCCCAGTGAGGGATGTGCTTTTCAGTCTAATTTTGGGGAAAGTGGTAGTCAGCAATCTGGTTGTGCCCAGCAAGGCCCTTCATGATGAATGGAGGAAGGAGAACAGAGGTTTGCAGGGTGCACAGGGAGCAGGGAAGTTAAGGACACCAGAGGGGATTAGTTTGGCATAGGAAGGGCTTATCTCTCCTACCTACCCAAAGCCCACCACTGAGATGTTTTTATTGAATTGCATGTGTTAATGGGTAACAAATGACCTCCCTCTGGCCCAGGTGGAACCTCTTCCCACAGAGGTAAGTCAGGCTGAATGAGACAGACAGCCTCCCTGGTGGTAAGAGGAAGCCAAGTAAAGAAGGCCTCCCACACCAAGGCATAGGAGATTGTGTCAGGTGAGTCTGGGGGACCCACAGGATTATGGAGGCTGCTGGAAGCCTGGTACGGTCTGGTTCTCCTCAGCTGTGGCAGCAGATTTCTCTTCATTGGCCTCCTCCTCTGAAGACAGGCTCCTCTTTTCCGCAATTAATCTTTTAACTCCCACCATCCACTGACTGACCTCAGTCACATGGTCAACCATGAGTGAGCGGTGGATGTCATCTGCTGCATCCCACTGGTGGTTTGAAAGCTCTGAGGAAAGACAGGGGTTGAGCAAGCAGCCTGGGATAAAAGAGACAGCTCCCGTACCTCCCCTCCCAATCAGTCAAAATCTCAGCACCTGTTCCAGCTCAGCCAATCATGGCAAGATGAGGGACTTAGGCTGTACCAGGGAACCCACCCATACCTCGCACCAGTATAGCCATCCTCTTCTTTACAGGCATTGACAACTTCCCTCCAGCCCACTGTTCCTGTAGCAGTGCCAGGCGTCGACTGATGTCATCACATACCTGCTTCTGAGACAGAAGCCCTCTCCAATTCAGTGCTGCCAACCCAACAGGGGGAGGGGATGGCAGCACCATGTAGGAAGCACCTGCTTTCTCTGGCCTAGGAACTTTACACTTCATCTTCAGAGTTCTGGTTCTTTACCCAAAAGTTAGCAGCACCCACTGAGAACCTGATGAAACCTATGGATCTCCTCCCAAGAAAAATGCGTGTATGGCTAGAATTTTTAAATTTCAAAGGCTTCTCAGACCCTCAGAAGCTCATGTTACTTCACAAATAAGGAAACTAAAAGCCAAAGACGTGAAATGACCATGCCACTCCCTCTTTCCTTTAAGACATTCCCTTAGATCCCTTGCCTCCACAGACTTAGGAAACACTATAAATGAGATTTCTTTCTCCTCGACTGAGCACAGTATAAATTTCCTGAGCACAAAATCAGCAGGATCTGCTCTGAATGACTTGGAGGTACAGAAAATCAGGCTGTTACCCATTCACCAATGGGAGATGAATTCAACTCTTGTTCCCACAAGCTTGTTCTATTGAAGTCCTCTGAACCCTCCTGAAATGTTGTGTTCATTTTTCTGGGAAGGCCCTAGCAGATTCTGAAAAGGTCTATAACTAAAAGAATTAATAGCCATTGCCCATAGTGTCGGAGGGTCTACCTTTGGGAGCTGTACCCACATCTGGCTGTGATTGGGAGCCCTCTCCACCCTCTGGAGTGCCAGGGCTTACCCTCGTGTGGCCACGGCAATCCTCCAATGCCTGTTCCAAAGGTTCCAGCACATCCTCCATCAGAGCTTCAGACTCAACTGGGAAACTTGTGGGCTCCACACCAAAGGCAGGACAACTCCCCACAGGTGGGGGCCTGGGAACCTTACTTGAAGGAGGTGGAGGCCCCATTGCGGGGAGCCCAGAAGTCTCTGAGGTGGGGACTGCAAAGGTAAGAGCAGGATCAAGCAAGATGACTTAAATAGGCAAGAAGCTCAATGCTAAATTTGCCCCTTTTAAGAAGGGCTTCTGGGACAACGCATTCAAAAATGTGTATTTATGCAGTCCCTACCATATGCCAGACAATGTGCTAGGGACCAAATGTAAGAAAAGTAAACCAGAAAGATTAGGTTTCTGACCTCAGAAAGCTTAAATTCTAGAGGGAGGGGGGAAAAACACAAGAAAATTACCAAATTGTGTTACATGCTACAAAGAAATAAAGTGCATTATGTAATAAAGATGAACAGGGGGATCTATCTAGACTAAGTTCAAGGAAGGTCTTCTGATGTGACAACTAAGTTTATGCCAGCTCACCCACTCTGACCTTCAACGAGTTACTTTTAACCTCTAAGCTTGGGTTCAAACTTAGCTATTTTTATTTTTATTTCTTGAGAGTCTCACTCTGTTGCCCTGGCTAGAGTGCAGTGGCGTCATCATAGTTCACTGCAGCCTCATACTCCTGGGCTCAAGCGATCCTCCTGCCTCAGTGTCCCGAGTAGCTGGGACTACAAGAGCACGCCATCATGCCCGGCTAATTTTTTCTATTTTTAGTAGAGATGGGTTTTGTTCTTGCTCAGGCTGGTCTTGAACCTCTGACCTCAAGGAATCCTTCTGCCTCAGCCTCCCAGAGTGGTAGGATTACAGGTGTGAGACACCATGCCCAGCCTTAGCTGTTTTTATTAAGTTGAGAAATAATGGATGAGATAGATGCAGCTATGAAGAGCTGAAGGAATATATACCAGGTATAGGTAAGGGCAATGCCTAAGATGCAGGAAAAGTGCTGACTTGTTCAAGGGACAGAAACAAGGCCTGTGTGTCTGAAGATTATTAACACTGAAGAAAGTAGTCACCAGACATTTTTTAAGATGTATACTATGAAAAACTGATGAGAACTGGTCAAGGATGGAGGCAGAGACAACTAGCTGGGGAGTTAATCAGTAGTCCAGGAAAGAGAGAATGCTGGCATGGACTAGGATGAAAGAGTACATGAGGGAAAATGGAATGGTTTGAGGTTTATTTAGAAGGAGGTAGCAACAGAACTTGGTGGATTGGGGGTGAGGGAGAAAAAAGTCAAGATGACCCTTGGGTGATGGGAATCACTGAGAAAAAAAGACTAGAGAAAAGTCAAGAATTTACTTTTGGGTATCAGCAATCCACATGAATTAATTCACCTAATAATCTGGCCTCTCGAATACTTGACCTCCTCACTCCAATGGTCATTTTTTCCCACCCTACCTCAGCCTCTCATTTCCCTCTGCTTTGTTAACGACACTATCACGTCCAAAATCTGATCACCCCTCCTACCCTTCCAGTTTAGCTACTTTGACTTCATGGTGCATTAAAATCACTCCCTTATAAATACTCTTACCTCCTTTATCACCTCCTATTGTCCAACTTTCCTGGTTAAAGCCAACTTGCCTGCACTTGGGAGGAAAAACAGAACCATGCTAATGAATTACACTTTAAATTCATGGCCACAGATTTTAAAAGGTATCAAACACTGCCTGGATACTTTGGCTCGTTTTTCCACTCTTTAGAACAACGATTTTCATATCTCTAAACTTTTCCACCTTCTCCCCCTCTCTTCCTTTCTGTGCTGTCTACTTCTGACTCTGCCTCATCTTTCACTGAGAAAAATAGAGGTCATTAAACAGGAACCCTCTCATCTTCCCACCACCACTTCTAACCCAACTGCATCTGTAGCCCCTGTCCTTGTTCCTCTAATAGATGAAAGGTTCCTGCTCCTGTCAAAAGCCGTCTCTCCAGCTGTACTTTGCATCCCAGCCTCTCGTCTTATCTAGGCTTACGTCTTCCGCTTTTTTTTCTTTCTACTTCTTCCCTAAAATCTTGTCTTCCACACTGCAGGCACAGTGATCTTTTTAAGATGTATGGAGTGGTTTTGAAGCTGGGAAGATTGTGCGCCTGGGGCAAATGTTTGGAGACAGTTTTGGTTCTCATCACTGAGTGGGTGCTACTGGTATCTACTGGGTAGAAGTCACCGATGCTGCTAAACATGCTCCAATATACAAGACATTCCCCCATAACAAACAATTATCTGGCCCAACATATCTATAGTGGTGAGGTTGAGAAACCCTGCCTTATATTTTTCTGGAGTGGAAAGGGTGTGGAGAATGAAGGCTGCTGAAAAACCAAACCTGAGCCCCTTTCTGGGGGCCACACCCCACTTAATGCCCTAAGAAATTCTCGGGGGGAAAGGGGGCCCTCTGCTTTAAACTTTTCAGTGGCTTCCAACTTTACATATCCTGGTTTACAAAACTCACTGTGCTCTAGCCACTCTGTATTCCCTCAATCTCTGAATTGGCCAAACTTGTTCTTATCTCAGGGCCTTTGCACTAGCTGTTCTCTTATGCTTGGAAAGCTCTTCTGCATGATCTTCGTGTGGCTTTAATGTCCACCCCTAAGTCAGCTAACTCACGAGTCGCATATCACATCACCCTGTTTTATCTGTCTGCGGACCCTTTACCATTATTATTTTAGTGTTAAGAATGTGGACTCCCTGAAAGCAGAGACTTTTTGTCGTGTTCGCTGCTGTCTACATCACCCTTGAACAGTGCCTGGCTCATCGTTGGTACTCAGTAAATAATAGTGGTTAATTAAGTGAATGAATGAATAACACGTTAAGTCTAAGATGCCTCTTACATACTCAAATGAAGAGGTAGAATAAACAAATGGATATACCGCTATGGGGTTGTGGGAAGGAGGTCTAGGTTGGAAGTCAAATTTGAAAACTTAAAAACCACAGGTCTAGATGTGATCACCTAGGGTGAAAATATAGAAAGAGTCTTTTTAAACCAACATACCATTTATTAATCTGAGCAGCAGAGAGGGGGCTCGGAAAAGTGCCTGCCCTGAGCCCCTTAGTGGGGCCCCACTCTCTCCTTAGGGAGTGCTCGGAGGACAGAAAAAGGCCCTCGGAACATGCTTATCCCTGACACCACCCATTCTCCGCCGGTCTCCCCGCACAGGGCCCCCACGCACCTCGGGGGGATCCATCCTGGGGAGCGGCGACCCTCTTGGTGAGCGGCGTGCGCTTGGGCCCGCCAGCCTGGGTCTGCAGCCCGTATGAGAACTGCGGCGGGTCGTTCCAGCCGCGCTCTTTGTTGCCTGCGGAGGTGAAGCGAGACCGGGATTTCACCCGAGGGTTATACTGGGGCCGAGGGACACAGAAGGTCCGCACCCCGCGCCTTAGCCGCCCCCAGCCCGGCGCGAGGACCCTGCGCCCCTAGACCGCCAGCAGCGCTCACCGGGTTTCACGTACAGCTCCGCCATCTCCACTTCCGCACGGCCAGCGGGGCAGCGCGTCATTTCCTGGGCGGCCGCTCGCTGAGTAAGTAGAGGCGCGGCTCCGGCCAGGCTAGTCGCCTGGCGCTCTTGAGATGGGATGGTTGTTCACAACTGCGGGCAGCCACTTGTGAGGACCCTGCGCCAATTCCCTAAGGAACTCGAGGTCTCCATCTAATGGACCTTCGGGATCCTGGTCACGGCACCAAACGGGGCTGCTTTCCAGGAGCTGGCGCTCTAGGAGCCCTCGTCCTCTCTGGGTCCGACCTCTCCAGTGTCTCCCACTTGCTCTCAGGAGCAAGTTCAAACCACCAGAAGCTCCTGTCTCACATATGCTCCTCTGCGATCCGGCCAGGTCGACTTTTAGAGCCTCAACTCTGTTCACTGTCCTGCACAATCACCACATTCATTTTCTCTAGCCTCGCTACCTAGTACTCAGCTTAGATGTCAGGTCTTCAGGAAGCCTTCTGTAATGCCTCAGGCCAGGTTAAGTGTCTCACCTAAGCTCCCCCAACCCTGAGGTTTCTTAGTTCTACTACACCATATCTTATGTGTTTTTTTTTTTTTTTTTTTTGACTCTTGTTCCTCTCCCTGACCATCTCAGAAAGTGGGACCCTGATTATTTTATTACATCCCCAGCGCCTAGCTTAGTATCTGGCTCGGAGACCTTAGAAAATAGGTTCATTGAATGAATGAAGTAAGATTTCCATCACACCCATGCCCTCATGTGACTACAGGCAGCCACCAACACCAAGCACAGACACAAAGACACTTATGTCACACAGGTTGTCTCCCCCAGCCCTGTCCCAGTTCCAATATACTCACACCCAGTGAGGTCACTGAGGGATTTTTATTTGCACTGATTTTGCTATAAAGTGTTGCTGAGGTAGAGCCACCTGTCCAAGACTGGACAGGGGCAAGGAACATAAGGACCCAAGGAAAGGGGAGCCAGGGTCCTAGGTTGTGGTACAGGGCCTCTCAGTCATCCATATAAACAATAAATTGGGCAATAAATAAAGGATGGCCAAGGATCAGAGGGACAGGCAGAGAAGGCTCCAAGCGGTGAGGCTGCAGGCTTCGGGGTAATGAAGGGGTATAGACAGAGTTAGGCATGGACCCAAAGCCTCCTTCCCCAGCCCTCCCAGATCAATTTAGGGCATATGGAGCAGAGAAGGTTTCAGCCGGAAGGCCTCAAGAAATGAGAAGACACCCCGCTTTCGAGGGGCTGCCCCTGCACCGCCAACCCCTCCTTTGAGCAGGGGGAGGGGCAGGGGACCTCCTGGGGAATCCATGGAGCTGGTCCGCTTGAGCCGCAGACGGGCCCGGGCCTGGGCACCCCGGGCCTTGCCTCGAGCTGCAGAGGCCACAAGACACTTCTGGTACTGAACCTAGGGAGAAGGGGAATGTGAGGATCAAGCTGCTTTCTGTCCCTGGAATCCCTGAAAACTTCTGCAGGACGGAGAACTCGCCAAGGCTTCTGTCTGATATGAAGGTAAGTAGTTGGCCACATCTGGAGTCCCTATAGCACTCCCAGGTAGCTCAATAACAAAAACATAAAACAATATTTATTGAGCACTTAAAGAGGGCTGGACACTATGCTAAGTGCTTTGTATAACTCAGTTATTTATGAGGCATATTATCCCCATTTTGCAAATGAGGAAATTGAGATTCAGAGTGTATGACTTGCCCAAGGTCACATAGCCAGAAAATGGTAGAATTGGCATTCAAACCTAGTTCTGACTGTGGCCTGTACTCTTAACCACACCTACCAATACGCTGCCTCTCCTCCATCTCTCACTGGTGTGGACCAAGTCCCTAGCAAAGCAGATTCCCTAGTCAAGGGGAAGGTGTACAAACCAACTTCATTCCCAATGCAAGTACCCCCAGTCTTCTCTCATTTGAACTATTCAAAGGGGTCCTAACTGGCCTTCCTACCTCCTCTTCTGTGTCCTCCAAATCTTTTACCCATAGTATAGTTTAAGTGGTCCTCCTAATCCACAAACCTCACTTTACCGCCTGGCTCAAAACCCTTCAGTAGTTCCTAGTGCCTCAGGATAAAATAAACTCATCACCCTGGCCTCTAAGGTCCTCTATGACCTGGTTTCTGCCATTTTCTCTGCATCGTCTCTTGTTATATCTGCCCTTGCATGCCAGATACACTAGATTCTTTCAGATACTCCAATTCACTTACACCTTTATCACTTTGACAGCTGAGGTTCCCCATGGTTGGCACACCTGCCCCATTACCCTTCACCTAGCTAACTTCTTCCTTGGAACCTTTAACTCTTGGTTTTCTATGACCTCTTACAAGTAGCCTTCCTGACCCTTGAAGGGGCTACCTCCTCCATCAATCTGTGGTGTACAAGTTATTTCTGGTCTGTCTCTCTCCTTCCTAAGTGTTCTGTGAAGGCAAAAGCTGTGCCCTCTATACCACTGAATTCCTAGGGTCAAATATGGTGCCTGTCCAAGCATGGCTGCATTTTGAAAAATAAAAAATATGGTGCCTGATAGCCTGTAGGCACTCTCATTTGTTGAATGCATGAGTGAACTGAACTAACAGAGTGTAAGCATCCCATGCTCAAATGCCCACAAATGCCAGGAAATAACCTAAATGAGACAAACAAACACAGACAATGCCCATCTTATAGGGCATAGCCCCTACACAACTCTGGCTGCATGCTGACATTTATATGCGTGAATGCAGTGCCAGAGCTCCTAGTATTTTAAGAAAAACAGGAATAGCAATTATTATGTGAAATGTCCTGGCCTTTAACTATTGGTAGTTAATTAAAACTTAACTAAAAACAGCATTGAGGGCCAAAACACTAATGATCCACAGTCAGCCCAGGTTTATGATCTCTGGAGAAGCTGCCAATCTCGAGCCCCAGTCAACAGTAGAGAGCAGCTGCAGGGCAATCCCACCCACCCATTCCTGCCCCTAACTCACCATACAGGCAGCCTGCACAGCTTCGGAGAGTCCACCTGCATGGGGCTGGCACCAGAAGGCTGCACACTGGAAGCTCTGACGGCCCAGGTCGGCAATGAGGCCAAAGGTATGTGGGTCGCGGCCAACACCAATAAAGGTCACAAGGCGCACAGGGCACTGCCACAATGGCTCCTCCTCTGTACTGGCCTCTGCCTGCCCACACCAGGCCTAGTCACTAGAGGGCCAACCACTGGCTGGACCCACTGAACTCTTCCAGCAGCAAGCAGTGACCCCTCAGCATCCCTGCTCACCCCTCCGCAGCCCCCAGCTTCACCCTGTTCTGATACCTGAATGGGATGTGCAGTCATGAGAGAGTCAGACACACTGAGTATGGTGGGAACCCAGGTGTTTCGGTCCCCTCGGGCGGTGAGGGTACCAATGGCCTCGTTCAGTACATCCATGCCTGGGGGAACATGCCCACCATGGTGTCTTCCAATTGTAAAGAAAGAAAGGGTCGGTAGGGAGTATCTACACCCCTTTCACTGACTTGGGACTCAGAAATGTGAATAGGATAGCTGGAGCTGGGATTAGAATTCTGAGTTAGGAAGGCTGGTACATCCCAGACCATACAAGGCCATGTGAGGACTGAGAAATGACAGTAGACCCTGCCTCACCCGCCTTCCCCTTGCCTTATGCAGACCACCCCATCTAGTCCCCTCAGTCCTTACCCATGGCTTTGGTGACTGGCAGGGTCCCCATGTACAGTGCCTCATACTTCTGAGCAGCCTGGCTCACCGCATCCAGTAGCTCCACTGAAATAAACATACACATCAAGTTGGCCTGGGAGAGCTCTCTCAATTACCCCTTTCCCCACCCTTCTGAGTGGGTCAGGACTCAGGCCAGAGCTGGTACTAATAGAATAAAGGCCTACAGATGCTCTTCCAATTCAGGGCTTGGGATCCCTGGGACCACACCCCTCAGAAATTCCCTATCTCCAGAGACGTACTAAACAACCAGGAACATCCCCCCCCACACGAAATTTCACCAAAGCAGCCTCGGGCAGCAATGCAGCACCTCCTTCCCCATACCTTGCCGTGGCAGGTCTTCAGGGGAGATGGGGTCTGGGGAGCAGCAAGGGGCATCACCATTGACCCCTACTCGCTCTGATAAGATCTAAAACACAATGCAGCCAGCATGAGCCACATGGAGAGAGGGGGATTAGGGTAAAGGGGCCAATACCACCCTTCCCCAACTACCTTGGAAGCTTCAGACCCAGCCCTATACCCACATTCCCTGTCCCACCCATGGCCCTTACCTGGGCACAGAGCCCATGTAGGGCACTGGCAATGGCCTTGGCAGGGACGTCACAGCGAAACACATGGCACTTGAGCATACAGCTGTCTTTTTCACCCGCCACAAAAGCAAAGTCCCTGGCAGGGGCAGAGATGGGGCTGGGGTAGAGGCTGGTTAGAGGCAGGGGCTTGAAGTGCCTGCAAGAGGCTGTGAAGTCAGGCTAGGGATATGGCACAGATGAAGTACAGAGGTCAGGGCTAGGGCTCAGGGCACCTCGTCACTCACCTGTCACTGTTCCGGAAGCATGTAGGAACACAGAAGAGAATCAGCCCAACCTCTCAGTCTCTCCCCAGTCTGTCCCTGATGAGCTGGACCCACCCTCCCCAAACAGGACTGGACCAGGCAGGGGAGGCAGTGTTGGGTCCACATCAGAGGATCTGTGTCCAGGGGTTCAACCACTGGGGATCAGCATCAGTGGGGATCACAGCCTGCAGGGGAGGAGGGAGAAGTAGCTCTCGCTTGGGGTAATGTAGACATCCTTACCGGCCCTTGGAGCTCCCCACGCCCCATACACGGATGTGCACCAGAGGCTGGCAGTGGATCAGACTGTGGTCCAGGGGATTCACCAGGCTCATGGCATCCTTCTTCAGGATCATCAGCATGTTCTGACCCTGCCAAGGTCAGAGGCTAGCCTAGAGCTCAGATAAAGGTAGTTGCTATGTGGAACAGGCAATTCAGGGACAACTACCTCTGCTGGGCCCTGGGCTGAACCCCTGCGGTCGGGGGTGGGGAGGGGGCCCAGCCAGCTCACCTCGCCCCAGGCACCATCTGGGGGCTGGCTCTGGCTGCAGGTCTGAGCCAGTTGCTGGATGCAGTTATTGACAGCAATACTGCTCTTCCCCGGTGCCAGGTCCTCTTCAGGTACCTCTATCCATCCCAGAGAGCGGACTGCAAAGCACTGACGGGTTAGAGGAAGGGACAAGAGTAAGTAGTGATGAAGTAGGGTGTTTGTTAGGTGCCACAGGCTCCACACATGGAAACCCTCTGGTACCCCCTGCCTTCACCCTTGATCACCTCTGCTGAGTCCAATCCCACCCCAGGTATTTCCCTTGGGACCTCCCAATACCCTCAGGCCCAAGTCACTACCTTAGCTCCTGGCTCCATGCTCTGTATGTAGGATTCCTCACCATACCAGGACAGAGAGTTACTGGAACAGAGCAGAGCTAGTAAGAGGACCACATTTCCTACAGTAGGAGCACTGGTAAGGCCCAGACTACTTGATGAGCACGGGATGTGGAACAAGACTCAGAATGTAACACCATAAATAAAACCAGAGTGGGGTAGAGCCCAGGACCTATTAAGTTAACTTAATATAAACTTTGACTTAGAATTTGAAGGAAAATTTGGGACACAGAACCCAGACACAGGATATAGAATAAAAGCCACAAACAAGGAACAGGGTCAAATATGTGGACTGGAACCCCAAACTGGAACAAGAGCCCCAAACTGGAACAAGAGACCCTAGAACACAGGATAGGAACCCCCACAGGGAAAGCCTAAGATAATGGCCAACTTGTAGAACACGATAGGTCAGGACTGAGAATATGGAAAAGAACACATAGGTAAAGACAAGCTTAGAACAACGGACAAAACTCAAAATACTGACAGTCAAGAACAAGAGACAGAGCCAAGAACACACAATACAACCCAAAACATGGACAGAGTCCAGAACCTGGGCTGGAAAGCAGACTGTGGGGTCAAACTGCATTTTTGAATGCCATGGAACCCCAAGCCTTTCGTTTTGCATGGCCATCCCTGTTACCTCCGGTCCAGTGAGCTCTCCAGGCTGGAGAAGGATCTTCCTTTGGGGGGCCGCAGTCCCCAAATCCCCTCGGACCCCTGTAGAGTGGGGGTTAGTCAGTGTGGCAGCAGGCCTAGATCCACGCATGGGCTCAGGATCCCTCCTCGTACTTCCACCTACCGTTCCTGGGTCCTCTGAATCTCCTAGTTCCCAAGTTGGGCGCTGCCACTGGGTGCTACCACTGGGTACGTGCCAATAGTAAGTACCTGCAGCATCTCGGATCTTCCTCCAGCCCGGGGGCAGGCCTGGCTCCCCCTCCAGACTCTGGTCCCCCCACAAGTCATCTACATGAACACAGGATTGGAGAGGGGGTGCATATTATTTGTGAGTTCAGAATAACACCCTGTCATAACCCTCCTTCCATACCAAAGGAGGCAGCTCTTAGGCTGGAGGTCCAAGCTCCCCAGTCTTGAAGATACCGCATTTAAAGATCAGGGTTCATTTAGACCTGGTCGTCACACCGAGACGTATTCCCCACCCTGTCTCTGAGCCTTGCCGTAGCCTTTTGCACTCCTCGTCCCCCCTCAGCTCCTAGTCCTCCCACCAGACCCCTCCGTGCACACCATCGCAGTTGACCAGAATGATGGCCAGCATGTAATCCTTGCCCAGCATAGCGCCGGCTGCGTCCCCGCCAGGCTCTGCGGGCCAGCACTCTTAGCCCAGCGCGACCTCCCAAGCGGCTGCGCCTACAAGCCCAGCCTCCCTGGGCCACAAACGGCCGGGCCAGCTGGCGCCGCACAAATACTGGGCGGAACAGGGGGCGGGAAGGGGCGGGCTCGAGGGGTGGTGCGTGTAGACTGGCGGCTGGATCCCCGAGTGGGTGCGTGTTTCCGTGCGTGGGTCCGGGGGAGGCGCAAGGATGTCAGCGGACCAGCAGACACCACCCCACAACTATGACCTCATCAGGCAGCGGAAGACCGTCTAAGCGACGCGCGCAAGAGTGAGATCATCGCGCCCACGACGTATGCGCGCGCACACGCATCCTGGACCTCGATGAGCGGGGTCACGTAGAAGTATCTGCGAACCGGAGACCGCCAGGGTTTGCTCACTAGGAAAGTAGCACCTCACCCTTTCTAAAAATGCCCCGGAAGTGCCTTCGCCCTCAATAAAGATGTCCGCACTATTTGGCATGAGGGTGGTGGGTCTGCGCCTGCGCAACAAGTTCGGCGGGGAAGATGGCGGATGACAAGGTGAGTGAACATGTGGGGGAGATCCGCAGTCGTGGGTGGTCGTCATGCTCCGTGACCTTTTTAGTTCCGGGGAGAAGCGACATTGGAGCGGCTCAGGGGTGGGAGTGCTCCTTGTTACCTACCTCTGGAGCTCCTGTCCACTGCCTCAACAGTGGGGGGTGGCGTGGGGGGCGCATTAGGCGAGGCGGGTGGAGCCGGGGATCCCCCAGGTGTCCTCTCCCAGGAACCAGGACGATCCCCAGTTACTAGCACACACTCAAACACATTCACCCTGAAACCCTCCTCACTCTGCCCCACTCCCTAGCCCCCGAAATTTCCCTCCCAGAGACGCGGTGTTTTCAATCACACTGACGCTCACACCACCCTCATTCAAACACTCCCTTGCATACACTGAATTTCATGCTTATACGTGGTCAGAATTACTCAGTGCATTTACTCACACACTTGCCCACAGTCATTGTCTCTTTTTTTTTTTTTTTTTGAGACAGAGTCTCACTCTGTTGCCCGGGCTAGAGTGCCGTGGCTTCAGCCTAGCTCACAGCAACCTCAAACTCCTGGGCTCAAGCGATCCTACTGCCTCAGCCTCCCGAGTAGCTGGGACTACAGGCATGCGCCACCATGCCCGGCTAATTTTATATATATATATATTTTTTTAGTTGTCCAGATAATTTCTTTCTATTTTTAGTAGAGACGGTGTCTCGCTCTTGCTCAGGCTGGTCTTGAACTCCTGACCTTGAGCGATCCAACCGCCTCGGGGCTCCCAGAGTGCTAGGATTACAGGCGTGAGCCACCGCGCCCAGCCAATCATTGTCTCTTGCATCCAGTCACTCACATTCAGTTTGGCATGGCCTTGGGTGGAAAGGGATAAAGCCCAGGGAGAAATCAGGTTTACCCCCAAATTGTCCAGGGAGTTACCTCAGTCCATTACTCACCATCGTCTGGAATGTCGGCATCACCCACGCATCTACCAAGTGTTTGCCAGTCCCTATGTCAGGCAATGGAACACAGCAGCCAAAACATTCTTCAGGGAGTTCATAGATGAATCAGTAGTGCTTCCCTGATAGACCTAGCTGAGGTCCCCTAGCTGTCCCTCTGCCTTCTCTACACACTGCTTGCTATGTAAAATTCTTGTAAAGAGTGTTGTAAGTTACTGCTGCAGTAACTTACTGCATCCCATATGTCACCGCCTCCCTGGCCCCCATGTGAATTGTGTGCTTTTCAATGCCTTTCTTCCTTTACTTACCATTACCATCTCAGGAAGCTTTTATAGGAAGAGGTTTCTTTGGCTCACCCCAACCCCTCCAATTCCCAGACTCTTATAGAATTGAACAAGGGATGGGGCTGGGTCAAACTGCTGGAACTAGCCTCTCCCTGTTCCTAGGATTCTCTGCCCAAGCTTAAGGACCTGGCATTTCTCAAGAACCAGCTGGAGCACCTGCACCGGCGTGTAGAAGATGAAGTCAACACTGGCGTGGGACAGGTAGGGACCGTTCCCCCAACCCTGGCCCTCACCTTAGGCTTTATTGCCCAATGAATGTGCTCTTGAGTGTTGAGTGGGTAGTAGAGATTTATACAGCAAATGGTTATTGAGGGTCTGTTCTCATTCACCTTGAGGAAAGTTTCCTTGAGAAAATGGCACTTGAACTGGGGTCTTGAGTAGGGGTTAATTAGGCAAAGAGCAGAGGAAAGAACATGATAAGAAAACAGCATATGCAAAGCCCTTGTGATGGGAAGTAGCATTATGAACATGAGGGGTGAGAGGAGGTCAGTTTGGCTGCAGTAGTCGGGGAGCATGCTAAGAAATGAAGGTGGAAAAACAGGCAGGGCTCAGGTTCCTCAGGGGCTTCTCTGGCCTTGTGGCAGTAGGGTTCTGTGATTGGAACCTTCTGACCCCAGGATTCTGAGATTGTGTGATCAGGACTCCTAGATTCTTTTTCTGGCTCCAGAACCTTGAGAAAAATCTTTGGAGAAAATACCAGAGTTGTCTAAAGTGAAGAGGAAGTAGTGGTGGAATGCTCTAAGCCCAGCTTGAGTAGCTCCTGGGCAGAGAAGGAGGGAGAGCCTGGCTGAGTTTCCTTCTGCGTTTTCTCTGCAGGATGGCTCGCTGTTGTCCTCTCCATTCCTCAAGGGATTCCTGGCTGGCTATGTGGTGGCCAAACTGAGGGCATCAGCAGTGTTGGGCTTTGCTGTGGGCACCTGCACTGGCATCTACGCAGCTCAGGCATACGCTGTGCCCAACGTGGAGAAGACATTGAGGGACTATTTGCGATCACTGCGCAAGGGGCCCGACTAGGTGTGGATGCCATGGGGGAGGCAGGATGAGCAGCTGGGGCCTGCAGGTGGAGGTCTTTCTACCACAGACATTCTGTCTGGCTTCCCCAGCTATCATCCATTTGCTGTCTCCAGCTTTTCTTGCCACATTCATCCTTGCTTCCTTTCCTGCAGAGTGTGGACAGTGGCTTGTCATCCTGCACTCTGGACTCCTTCCCTCCCTAACTCCATGGGACTGGTCCCAAGACTGTGGTTTCAGGGGCCACCAGCCCTCCTCTTCAAGGCCTGACTGTGGAGTTTGCAGCTGACTCTGATTCTTAGTATTCTCTCTGGCAATGTACACTGCTCCTCCCTCCTGGGAGCCGGCCCCATAACTTGATTTCCCCCAAAGGTGTCATAATCCCCACTGCCCCTTGCTAACTACACAGGCCACCTAGGGTCTGGTGTGGGCATGAGTGTAGAGGACGGGGGTATACCAGGCCTGGGCCGTCCCAGGCAGGCCCGTTGGACCCTGATGCTACTCCTGTCCACTGCCATGTATGGTGCCCACGCCCCATTGCTGGCGCTGTGCCATGTGGATGGCCAAGTGCCCTTCCGCCCCTCCTCAGCCGTGCTGCTGACTGAGCTGACCAAGCTACTGTTGTGCGCCTTCTGCCTCCTGGTGGGCTGGCAAGCATGGCCCCAGGGGGCCCCACCCTGGCGCCAGGCTGCTCCCTTTGCACTATCAGCCCTGCTCTATGGCGCTAACAACAACCTGGTGATCTATCTTCAGCGTTACATGGACCCCAGCACCTACCAGGTACTGAGCAATCTCAAGATTGGAAGCACGGCGCTGTTCTACTGCCTCTGCCTCCGGCACCGCCTCTCTGCACGCCAAGGGTTAGCACTGCTGCTGCTGATGGCTGCAGGGGCCTGCTATGCAGCAGGTGGCCTTCAAGACCCCCGGAACACCCTTTCTGGGCCCTTTCCAGCTGCTGATGCCAGCCCCATGCCCCTGCATATCACTCCGCTGGGACTGCTGCTGCTCATCCTGTACTGCCTCATCTCAGGTTTGTCATCTGTGTACACAGAACTGCTCATGAAGCGACAGCGGCTGCCCCTGGCACTTCAGAACCTCTTCCTCTACACTTTTGGTGTGCTTCTGAACCTAGGTCTGCATGCTGGTGGTGGCCCTGGCCCAGGCCTCCTGGAGGGTTTCTCAGGATGGGCAGCACTCGTAGTGCTGAGCCAGGCACTAAATGGACTGCTCATGTCAGCTGTCATGAAGCACGGCAGCAGCATCACACGCCTCTTTGTTGTGTCCTGCTCACTGGTGGTCAATGCTGTGCTCTCAGCAGCCCTGCTGCGGCTGCAGCTCACAGGCGCCTTCTTCCTGGCCACGCTGCTCATTGGCCTGGCTGTGCGCCTGTACTATGGCAGCCGCTAGCCCCTGACCCTGTGGATTGGGTGCCATCATCAGAATCCCCTCCCAGGCCTCCCTTCCCCTCCCCTCAGCAGCCCTGTAACAAGTGCCTTTTGAGGAAAGCTGGGGAAGTGAGAGCAGCCAGGTTAGTCTCTGGAGGTGGGTGGGATGGGATGTGAAGAGTGGATTTGGTTATGGAAACTCTTAACCACCCCACCCCACCCTACCAAGTTCTTTCAGGCTAAGGAATTGGGGTAGCATCAATACCTAGGCCTGATAAATGACCCCATCCCTGGTGGGGCTGGACTCCCTGCTTCGTCCTGCATGAACACAGTTGCTCAAAGTGGGGTGTGGGCAGCAGGTGGCTTTCCTTACCTAGTCACCCCAGCAGACCCACTGCCCCCATGCCTGATGCTGGGTGCTTCAGCCCAGCTGTGGTACATGATTCCCTCATAAGGAATGCTCAGTCCCTCCACTGTCATGCAGGAAAGCCCAATAAATTGCCACAGATTATACAACCGTCACCCAGACCATTCTGCCGGTCTCCCCAGTTCCAGCAATGCCTGGAGACATACCCCTTCCCCCATCCACAGTGCTGCTTCCCATACCCAGCCTTTGTTCTGGAAACCCCAAAGATAGCTGGGGTTTGACTCATCTCAGGGAATGTTGCCCCTGGGCCCTGGCTTAAGCCTACACTCCTGACCTTTCTGCTCATCCCAAAGGCCCTCGTGAAGCCCGCTGCCCACTCTAAGGCTCCTAGGAGGTGCCATCCTTCCCACTCTGGGTCCTGCCTCTGCCTGGCAGTCTCCCAGTTCCCCATAGCCTGAGGAAGCTCTACAAGAGTGACTTGGGACTGGTACAGGAAACTTCTGTAGCTCAATCAGTGTCTCTAACTGCATAAGCAATAAGGTCTTAATAAAGTGTTCTAGAGTGTAGGTTGGTTCCTACAACCACAGCCATGATTGTCCTGTGTCTTCTATTTGCACAGCCCCCTTCAAACATAGTCTTGTTTCCCTGGAGTCTTGAGTGTTTTAATTCTGGGGTAACTTCTAGACTAAGAAAAAGTTGTTTTCTCCGAGCTGTTGTCAGAGGCATTATTTTCTTTGGGAGCTCCATGGATCTGAGACTGTTCCCTGTCACAGAGCTTTCGAAATTTCCCTGATACTGGGCCCAGCAAGACAAACTGTAGACTCTAGGCTAGAAAACTCTTAACAACACCGGTGTCGGTTTAATTCTCATTTCCTCTGGTTCCCTCACTGATGATTCCTCTGTCATCTGTCTTAAAATCATGGCCAGAGGAATGTCAGGCCCTGTTTCCGTGGTAGAATGCCTGGTCAGCTTATAAAAATAGAGTCCCAGGCCTATCTGAGCCCTATCAAGGCAGAATCTTTGGGAGTAGGGTTTGGGAATCTTTCTTTTTCCTTAAACAAGCTCCCTAAGTAATTCTGATGTATGTTGAAGCTTGTGAACAACTATCTGCGATGTAGAACTATGGCCAGACTTGAATTTGAATTCTGCCTCTGCCACTTAGCTGACTGTCCTTGAGCAGTTACTTAACCTCTCCTAGCTTCAGTTGCCTATCCCTGAAATGAGGATCAAATGGTGCCTACCATATGGGGTAGCCGAAAAGGCTAAATGAAATGGTAGGCAGTAGAGACAGACTGGCACAATGAGACATGGTTAATGTTGTTAATTATCCATAATGAGCATCAGCTTGGTTGTTGTGTCCCTCCCTCTCCCTTCTAGGACCCTCAAGAATGAGGAGAGAGAAAACTTCCCCTGAAGGCTTCCTGATCACCAGATTTCTCCCCAGGGCAGGGATCCAGCAAGACTGCCCCGGCATAGTCTGCACCCTGCCAAAGCTGCTGGTTCTGGGCTTGGAGCTCCTGATTCTGTGTGGCCAGATTGATGGTGTCTTGCAGGACGCCAGCCAGCCGTCTACGGTGGTGATGCTCCGTGGTCATGGCCTGCTCCTTCCACAGCCTCTGCCAGGCTCGGAATACCTGTGCCCAAATTCAGAGATGCCTGTCAGTCAGCCAGCCTTGGAACCAGCTCGAGGCCTGCCCTCCATCCCCACTGACCTGCAGCATGTGGCATGTCCGAGCTCGGGTGGCCTGCACGTGCAGGTCATAGAGGACTTCCAGGTCCTGCTCTGCAGCGTCCCGCTCTGCCTCAAGGGCTTCCAGCTGGAGTCTCAGTACTGTCTGCTCCTGGTGCCATCTCTGCCTTTCCTCACAGGCCTTCAGTAATAATACATACCCTTTGTTGAGTGCCACCTGTGTGCCAGGCTCTGTGCTAACTACTTCATGTGTGTTAGCTCATCTGACCAAATAACCATATGGGGCATTGCCATTTTACAGATTTGGCAACAGTAGATCAGAGAAGTGACCTAACTTGCCCAGATTCTCATGGCTAGTGAAGGACAGAGCAGAGGTGACTGACTCATGCCTTCCAACAGTTCACCATCCTCCTAGGGCTAGAATCCAAACCCAGAAGGGCAGCATACTTGTCTGTTAGCCTTGCCTCTGACCATGCACCTGTGCGGCTCCAGCCAGACTGGATGATTTGCGGTCCCCGGAACCCATTTTGCCATTTCTTCCCTCTGAACCTTTGGTCAATACAGGTTTGTCCTCTCTGAGAACATATCTCCACCCCAGCCACCCACCGCTACGTACACAAGTTCTGTTGCTTAATTGGTTCAAACAAGTTACGTTTATTGAGTGTCCTATGTGATAAGCACTAACTGCCCTTATGAAGCCCAGAGTCTAGTGAATTCCCCTGGCTGATACCTGTTTGACCTTTATGCCTCAGCTTGGATACTATCTCTGATTTCCTTCAGCCTGAGTCAGGACTACCTCTTCCTTCCCACAGCCCCACTTTCCCCCTCACAGCACTTAGCACTGCGACTTGCCTCATCCATCCCGTGCTGGGCTGTGAGGGCCATGAGAGGGTTTGGGTCAGTCTGCTGTGATTGATGCTGGGTCCCAGCCCCCAGCATGGTGCCTGGGTCAATTAGAGCCTCAGGCCCCCGACTTGACCCTCCTCACCTCCTCCAGGCCTTTGACCTGGTCACCTGCCACCTCCTCCTGTTCCAAATGCTTGAGCTTCTCTCGGATCCAAATTTGGTGCTGCACTCGCAGTCTCTGCCTCCGAGCTTGGGCCAGGAAGAACTGCAGGGCCATATCTGGGACCTGCTGGGCCTAGGTGGCATTAATCTAGGCTCAGCCATAAGCCCGTGAGTGCAAAGGCTACTCCCAGAACTACATCCAGGATTAAAGTGGCCTGGAAGAGCCTGGGCAGAGACTCGGAAGGCCGAGGAGGAAGGGGGACAGTATTGGCTCCCATACCCGTAATCCAACCCAGTAAGAAAACAGTCCCTCCTCGTGCTCCTCCCTTAGGGATCCAGTAGGCATTTAGGTCCTTTATTTGCCAGAAGCTTATTACTTGTCCCTGATGTCGGGGCAGGGTAAGCAGGAGGCAGACTGGCTGGCCTCTACAACTCTTCAGTCGCTCAACAGCTTCCAGCTGTTCCTGGGGTACATGAGGCATTACCTGTTCCTCAGAGTCCCTGTGAGTATTCTTTTGGTGGAGCCCAGGTCTTAGAGATGCTGTTCTTCCTGCCACTAGAGGAAAATGTGCTTAATCCCATCAAAGGTGGAGAAGACTCCCCACCCCAAGCTATCCCTTAAATCCCAGACCCACCTTGGAGCTCCCCCTTGAGGCCTGAGCTATGGCTTGCTGCTGAATCTGTCACCTGCTGAGAAGATATTAGGAGTGAAAATTCCATACCCTTCCTCCCAGGACAGCGTGGATTAAGCTCAGGGCTTTGAAATCAGATCAGGGTCTCAGTCCCTCCTTTTCTTAGCTGTATTACCTCAAGCAAGTGACTAGCCTTTTGAGTTTCCATGTCCTTCTGCATAAAATAGAGCTGATAAAAGCTGTAGACAGCAAGAAATGAGGTAATACACCTAAAGCACTGAGCAGCGAGGAACTCGCTCAGTCGATGCGAGCTAACGAGCTTACTTCCCAAGGCTCAAGGCTGTAAGAACAAGTTGTAAGTAATTATGAAAAAGGACAAAAAGGATCAAGAGAGGCTGGACGTGGGCAGCCTTTCAACCACCCTGTGGCAAATCATGGAAGACAGCGCTGCCTTCCGCATAAGAAAGGCCATGCAGCCTACAGAGACGAAAGAGTACCAGAGTAGGAGCCTAAGGACTATGATTGCACCTCTGCTGCCTCTGATTATGCCTATGACCCTGGGCTCACATCTTTCACATCTTTTCTCTGACCCTCAGTGTGCTCACCTGAAAAATGGGAGCAATGTTGTCTTCCCTGCTTCAAATACTCCTGTGGCTCACCTTCTACCTTTAAGACAAAGTCCAGGCATCTCAATAGATTTACAAAGTCCGTATGACCTGGACCCTGCTGCCCTCTCCAGTCCTTCTCTCCTGACTCTTCCTCAATTTCTGTTCTCCAGCAAATTGAGCTGCTTGTAGTCCCCCAAAGAGATCAAGCACTTGCTTACCTCTGAATCTGTGCCTGTCATTCTCTCTGCCTCGAATGTTCTTCACTCATCTTTGCTGACCTCCTTCAGGGATCCCTTCCTCCATGAAGTCTTCCTTCCCTCTCTTGCCAAAGCTAACTTAGGTGCCCCATAGAACCCTGTGTTTATACACCTTTCAGAGCACTGATTATGGTGTTGTGATTGTTTCTTCCCAGAAGGTATAAATTCCATGAGGACAGGGAATTCCCAGGGCCTGGATAGCACTGTGCCCAGCACGTAGTGGGTGGTCAATAAATGTTTGGGAACAATCAATCAATGAATGAATGGAGGGAGGGCCTCCTCATAGTGCTTGTTAATGGAAGACAAGAAGGCAGACATAAATGCAGCTCCCAAAACGTTGGATGAAAAGACATACCTGTGGTTCTGGCAGCCCCTCAGCTCTGGCCTCTTTCAGCACCTGGCTTCTTGGGCACTGGCTCCATGCTTTTACCACCTACGGAGAGAAGGTTCAAGGTGGGCACTGGCCATGGCTGGCCCAGGTGCCCCCAGGCCTGACCTTGCTCACCTGGAGCTCCCTCAGAGCCCTGCCCAGCCGGCTTAAACCATTGTCCGTCAGGGTGTCCTCAAGGAGGCTTAAACGTAGGGTCCTCAGGCCAGCCCGGCGGGCCCGAGCCTCTTCTACTGCATCCCACAGGGTGGGTCTCACCTGTTTCACCTCCATCCTCCTTCCTGAGGCCCCCAGAAGAGCAGCCTGGAGCAAACTCAAGGAGATACCTAGTAAAAGGACACTCAGAGTGAATTGCTCCTTCCTATGGACTCTAAAGCACACTACCTATAATTTTACTCTTGATTAGCAGTACTAGTCATAAAAATATCTAACTCTATTAGGCTTTTATATATGCTTGATGGCACTTCGCTAAGGCTATTCATGGATTGCCCTTTTATCCACACAACACTCCAGTGAGGCAGAAACTCTAATCTAGCCTGCCTCCCCCTCCATTTTCCAGATGAGGCAAGTGCAGCTTAGGGAGGTCAAGTGACTTCTTGGTGAGTGGCAGAACTGAAATTCAAGCCCGGTTCTGTCTGACAGAACAGTCTGTGCCCTTCATCATGATACTAAACTGGCCTAGAGGTAAACAGCCCCTCGCTGCTTTATCCTCGAGGGTACGAACTGCGGCAACTTATCTTCCTTATTCCATGGGGCCTGACATGGGGGTGTCTGGGAGCTTGTTGGCCAAGTGAATGTGTGTTTATTGATTTTGGAGACAGAGAGCCAGACCCTTTTTTTACTCTTTTATTATAGAAAATTTCAAACGTATACAAAGTGTAGGAAATCCATCTACCTATCACCCAGCTTCGATAATTATCAACTCATGGCCATTCTTATTTCATCTATACCCTCCACCTTGACCTTCCCCAAATCCCCAACATCATATCGTTTCAGAGGCCTGATTTTTAATGGGTGTGTGAAAATAGGCAAGTCCCTTCCCCTCTCTGATCCTCCCTTTCCTCATCTATAAGTTAGGCCTGCCTCCCTTTCCTCATTTGTAAATTATATACATTTCATGGGGTTGCAGTAAAAACTGAAAGTATTAGTGCAAAAATACTTGGTAAGCCGTTGAAGGCCTCTGAAAGGTGAGGGGTTGCTTTTACTATTGACCTTGCCCTTGCCTCCCCAGACTTCAGCAGCCTAAGTACTCTGGGACTTTCCTGAATACTGGCCCTCCCAAAAGGTCAGGCTCGCTCTCTGGGCTGGGGTTGGGGCTGGGGCTAGTTGGGTGACAGTAAGGCAGGCCTAAGGCTACATCCCAGAGCTTCCCAAAGAACCCCACACCCTGCCCCTGACCACCTTGGGGGTCCAGGTGAAGAAGTAGGCCACTGTAGTTGTTTCCTTCCAGGAGCCATGAAATAATCCAGGGCAGAGAGCCCTCTACCTCCTCACCAGCAACCTCACCAGCCAACACCTGCAGCAGGGGGCAGTCTCTGCCAGAGGGAGAGAGGAAGAAAGATGTGCATTAGTGGATGGGGATAGAAACTGGACAGAATCACATTCTAATGGAAAGGTTGACTATTTCCAACAACTTGTGTGCACCACCAGGCAGATTCGAAATCTTATATAGATCTTTATTTTATTATATAGAGAAAATCCTAAATAATCTACATGCAAAAATAACTATTAGAGCTAATAAACAGATTCAGTAAAGTTGCAGGATACAAAATCAACACACACAAATCAGTTGTATTTTTGTACACTAGCAATAAACAGTCCCAAAAAGAAATGAAAAAAATAATTTTGTTTATAAAAACATCAAAAATAATAAAATGCTCAGAAATAAATTTAACCAAGGAAGTGCAAAACATATACACTGAGAACTACAGAACACTACTGAAAGAAATTAAAGACCTAAATATATGGAAAAACACCCTATGCTCATTGTTCTTGAATTGGAAGGCTTAATATCATAAAGATGACAATACCTCCTAAAGAGATCTACAGATTCAATGCAATCCCTATCAAAATCCCAACGGCTTTTTTTTCCTTAGAAATTGAAAAGCCAATCTTAAAATTCATATGGAATTGCAAGAGACTCTGAACAGCCAAAACAATGTTGAAAAGAATAACAAAATTGGAGGACTCACACTTCCTGGTTTCAAAACTTACTACAAAGCTATAGTAATTAAAACAGTGTGGCATTGGCATAAGCCTTTGATAAGATCTAACACCCTTTCATGCTAAAAATACTCAACACAGTAGGAATAAAAGGGAAATTTCATAGTATGATAACAGATATGTAGAGATCACTGGAATAGAACTTAGAGTCTTGAAATAAATCCATATATATGTGGTCAATTGAATTTTGACAAGGGTACCATGACCATTCAGTGTGGAAAGAAAAGTTTCTTTGGCAAACAATGCTGGGAGAACTGGATAGTCCCATGCAAAAGGATGAAGTTGGACCATTACTCCATACTAATACAATTCATTCAGAATGGTTCAAGACCTAAATATAAGAGATAAAACTATAAAACTATTACAAGAAAATCTAGGGGTGAATCTTCCTGACCTTGGATTTGGCAATGATTGCTTAGCTATGACACCAAAAGCATGAGCAACGAAAGAATAAATAGATAAATTGGATTTCATAAAAATTCAAAACCTGGTGCATCAAAAGATATTATCAAGGGAGTGAAAAGATAACCTACAGAATGGAAGAAAATGCTTGCAAATCATAGATCTGATAAGGGTCTAGTATAAAGAATATATAAAGAACACTTATCACTCAATAAGGAAAATACAAACAACCCAATTTTAAAAATGGATAAAGGATTTGAATAGACATTTCTCTAAAGAAGATATAGAAATGGCCAACAAGCATATGAAAAGATGCTCAATATAGTTAGCCATAGGGGAATGCAAATCAAATAAAAATGAAATACTACTTGATAGCTACCATGTTGCCAATAATCAAAAACATGGAAAATAACAAATATTGGTGAGAATGTGGAAAGGTTGGAACCCTCATATATTGCTGGTGGAAATATAAAAGGGTGAAGTACTGTGGAATGGTGGTTCCTCAAAAGTTAAACAGAGCTACCATATGATCCAGCTATTCCACCTCTAGGTGAATACCAAAAGAATTGAAAAGAGATATTCAAATAAATACTTGTACATGAATGTTCGTGGTAGCACTATTTATAATAGCCAAAAGGTGGAACAACCCAAATTTCTATCAATTGATAAATGGATCAACAAAATGTGGTATATCCATGTAATGGAGGAGTATTTGGCCATAAGAAGGAATGAAGTACTGATATATCCTACAATTTGGAGAGCTATACTAAGTGAGAGAAGCCAGACATAAAAGGTCACCCATTATATGATTCCATTTATATGAAACATCCATAATAGGTAAATCCATAGACACAGAAGCCAATTAGTGGTTGCTACAGGCTGGGGGAAAGAGGAAATGGAGAGTGACTGCTTAGTGGGTACAGGGTTTCCTTTTGGAAGGATGAAAATGTCTTGGAACCAGATAGTTGCACAACATTGTGGATGTACTAAATGTCATTAAATTGTACATTATAAAATGGTTAGTTGTTAATTTTATATTATGTGAATTTTACTTCAATAAAGACAAACAAACAAAGTTAAGAACAGAGTTACCATATGACCCAGCAATATCACTTGTTGGTATATCTAAGAATATTTAAAACAAATGTCAAAACAAAAACTTGTACATGACTCTTCATAGCAGCATTATTTATAATAATCAAAAGTGGAAACAAACCCAAATGTCCATCGATGGATGAATGGATAAACAAAATGTGGTATATCCATACAATGGAATATTATTTGTCAATAAAAAAGAATGAAGTTCTGGCCAGGCATGGTGGCTCACACCTGTAATCCCAGCACTTTGGAAGGCTGAGGCAGGAGGATCACTAGAGGCCAGGAGTTAGAGACTAGTCTGGACAACATAATGAGAACCCATCTCTACCAAAAAAAAAAAAACCAAAACAACAAAACATTAGCTGGGTGTGGTGGCACACGCAAACACTGTGCTAAGTGAAGGAAGCCAGACACCAAAGATCACATATTGTCTGATCCTGTTTATATGAAAAGCCCAGAAGACGCAAATCTATAGAGACAGAAAGTAGATTAGTGGTCGCCTTGGGCTGGGAGTCAGGGGCAGGATGGGGAATGCCTGTAGATGGGAAAAGGTTTCATTTCTGAGGTGAGGAAAATGTTCTAAAATTAGACAGCGATGGTCAGTGTACAACTTTGCGAATATACTATGAATAAAAGTCACTGCATTGTACATTTAAAAGAGTGAACTTTAAGGTATGTAAATTATATTTCAATACAGCTGTTTTTTTTAAAAAGAATCTTACATAATAAAAGAAAGGCTTTAGGATAGTATGGAACTTAGGGTAACTTTTCCCCTTCTTTTTTGTTTTTCTCTAATTTGTTTTCAGGAGCTTCTGAATTTGGCAATGTTTCCATGATGTTACAAACTGCACAAGTTGGTTTGAAATGATTATTTTCTATCACCACATCATGTTTTCATAAATTTTGGGCACTGAGTAAAGGGTGTAAAGTGGGACATGAAGATAGGATTCCTTGGGAATTTCCCAATTTTGGTTTTGAACATTTAGGTTCTTTCCGAGTTTTCAGTCTGATAGATTGAAAGAAATATAAGTGGTTGAAAATGAATTAGAAATAAAAAATAAAAACAGGAGTAGAAAAACAAAAAAAATCTGAAAAATCAGACAAAAATGCTTGAAGATTATTTGAAAAACTTCCCTTGGTGCACTTACCAACGTTTGAAAAAACAGTGGTTGAAAATATGTATTTTTATTTAATGGTTTTACTAATTCTCTACCCAGTTGCTTTTGACCACATCATCTGCCAACAAAGGATCTTAGCCTGGGCTCTGGGATGCCCTTACTGATGGAGTTGAGGAAAGGAGACACTTTGATGCTGTCTTAGGCCTTTACATCCATATTTCAACCCCCAACCTCACCCCCCAATGCAGTCAGAAGGCCCCTCAGACTCACGGGGCTCCTGGGAGCTGCAGGATCCGCAAGGCCCCTCGCCAGACACCCCGGATCTCAGGCCCCCGAGGAGGGTCAGGCCCTGGGCAGGACATGGTGAGAGTGAGCAGACAGCAGGCCCTGTGAAGGACAGGGTAGGCTAAGGCTAAATGTCTAAAGGGTAAAGGGGAACAGGTACCCTCCTGTCCTCACCTGCCATCACTCCCGGTGGCCTGCAAGTACAGCTCTGAGGCAGCTCTTGAGTCAGACACCTCCACTTCACTGGCATCCTCCACCACCCTGTAGGAAGGGGAGGCTGAGCTCAGCTCCTAAGCACCAGGGTTTTGTCCAGCCCCCTGGACCGTCTGCATGCGGAACCCAGGGAGGTCTCCATAGCCTGTAAGAGTCATCCCAAAGGCTCCAGGCTCAGTATATCTCCCTAAAGTCCTCTTATTTTCATGACCTTATTTTTCCTCCTGTGATCCCCCAGTGAAGGAAACAGGATAGCTAGGATTGCCCCACTTTCCAGATGGAGAAACTCAGTGTGATGCTCAAAATCACCCCTTGCGATAACGACTGAGTCAGGACAGGGAGGTCAGGGGTCAAATTGAGGAAGTGTAAGTGGGTGAGAGGAGTGAGAGGGGTGGGCATGTCAATGAAGGAAGGAGGTGTGAGGGGGTCCTCAGAGCAGACCCTGGCCCTGTGAGCATGACCCCAAGCCCAGAGCTTCCTTCTCCTGGGTGGCAGTGGGTAGCAACCTCCAAGGGCTTGGCTTGGGGGAGTCGGCCCTGCCTACGACAAGCACCCTCAGGCTCCAGTGGGCCCTGAACACTCACAAGCCCAGAGGGGGCACATCCAGCACCGACAGGTTCTCCACCGCTGGAGAGAGCAGGTCCCGGGTCCTTCCGCTGGGGCCGAGCTGGGGTCACAAGAGCACACCTGTTACTAACTGACCCTTTCCCCTACCTTTGCCTCATGCGATCCTCCTGTGGGCCAAATAGGGCACTGAGAACTCAGCCGTTTCACAGTCGGAGAGGCAAGCCCACGCTGGGGAGTGAAGCTGGACCAAAGCTCTTCTCAGCCTCGGGCTCTTTCTCAGCGTCACCACGGCCCTGGCCCCCTTATCCCACCCTCTCCCCTCCCGCAAGGGTCTCACCTGCACCAGGCTGAGAGTACTAAGCACGTGATCAGAGCGGCCGAGGGGCAGCGCCTCTTCAAACAGCGCCTGCAGCAGCTGAAGTGGAGAAGTGTTCGACGGGGGTGGAGAAAGCGTTCATCTGTCCTTCAGCGTTTCCCGCGGGTGCAGTCTGTGTCAGGCCCTGTGCGGGTGCTGGGGACGTGGAGTCCAGGGCAGAAAAAGCACCAGCCCTCGTGTTCACGGAGAGCCAGAAGGTGAGTAGACATTTTCAGTGGGACCTGCTGTTTGCTGGCCAGGGGCCCGGGACAAGATCTGAGGCAGCTATTTTGATTTGGGGGCATTTTATGAAGCCACAAAAACAAAATTTCCAAGTTGTTATCATTATTAGTATTACCCCCCTGTAACGGTGACGATTAGACCTCCCTGGAGATCTGATCTTTGCTCGCCACCCCTCCCTGACTCTCGGCCTATCCGCCCAGACTCTCCTTTCCTGACCTCCCGATAGCTGCGTGATTGACCCCGGCGAGACATCCTGCCTGGCCCACAGGGTGCTGTAGGAGCCCCAAGGAGGGACACCTAGTCCAGCTGAGGTGGGGGGAGATTCTCAGAAGTATCCTGGAGGAGGCAACACCTGAGCCTCAGGAGGCCTCTGCCCTCTGGCTCCTCGGGGACTCACCTGAGGTACCAGTCGGGGCGCCTCTGTTTCCCTGCCTCGGAGTAACAGGGCCACACTGTACCCTCGGCCCACGGAGCCCAGTGCAGACTGGACACGTGCCAGCAGCTCCTGCTCTGCCTCCTGCAGGGGACACAGGCACATTCCTCTGTCTCAGGTGCCCTGTCCCAGCCTACCCTGAATAAAGGGACTTGGGAGGCAGTCAGCACCCCAGGCCCCAGAGGACTCCCATCCTCCTCCTATCACCCTCTCAGCCCCCCTACCTGAGCAGCATCGGGGCCCAGGACTCTGTCAAAGGTGAAGCTCTGTCTCTGTGGGCAGGGCTGGGGTCAGCAGTGTCGTTCCCATCTTCCCCTGCCCCTACTCGCACCCCACACCCTACCTGAGTCTCCTGAGTCCCTGGCTGAAGCAGGCAGACGTTTGTGGGCCCCTCCAGAAGGAGTGTGGGGCTACCGGTCTCCTCAGGGCCTGAGAAAGGTAGACTTCGTGTCAGCTGTCATGAGGGAAACTGAGCTCTAGGATCCCTGAGTCCTGCCCTCCACCTTTGCCTCAGTTTCCCAACCTGACTTGGCCCAGCCCTCTCCTCTCCCAAGAGGCTGCTTTGTATGAATATGGGGGCTTCTTACCTGACCCCTTCCCCAGCTCCACTTCTACCACCACGGTCAGCGCGGCATGCGGATTGGGACAGGCAGTGAGGGCCCCTCGAGGGGGCTGAGCTGCCTGGGACAAACCAGGCCCTGCGCTCGCCACCTCTCCATGCTCCATGGCTGCCACGCTGCTCAGATTCCCCTCAATAATTCATGTCCCTCATCCGAGGGCTCAGGGGCTGGGGGTGGGGTGGCTCTGGACAGTAACCTATCAAGGGAAGTGACACTCCCTTCTCTTCTCAGAGAATATTGCATGGGGTTCTTTTTGTTTTATAAAAAAATGTCACACGGGCCGGGCGCGGTGGCTCACGCCTGTAATCCTAGCACTCTGGGAGGCCGAGGCTGGTGGATCGCTCAAGGTCAGGAGTTCAAGACCAGCCTGAGCAAGAGCGAGACCCCATCTCTACTAAAAAATAGAAAGAAATGATCTGGACAACTAAAAATATATATATATAGAAAAAATTAGCCGGGCATAGTGGTGCATGCCTGTAGTCCCAGCTACTCGGGAGGCTGAGGCAGAAGGATTGCTTGAGCCCAAGAGTTTGAGGTTGCTGTGAGCTAGGCTGACGCCACGGCACTCACTCTAGCCCCGGCAACAAAGCGAGACTCTGTCTCAAAAAAAAAAGTGTCACACATGTGTAACAGTGGGGACAATGGAATAATGAACAGTACCCAACGTCAGCAATCACCACCTGCTGGCCACTCTTATGTCTCCTGTTCCCCGATCTTCTCCACCGTGGATTATTTTGAAACAAATCCCAGACATCCTGTTATTTCATCTGTAACTATTTCAGTATGTATCTGTAAAAGATAAGAACTCTTTTTAATAATAGCTTCATTGAGATATAACTAATACATTATAGAATTCACCCATTTAAAGTATATGATTCAAGCCTGGCACAGTGGCACACGCCTGTAGTCCGAGCTACTCTGGAGGCTGAGGCAGGAGGATCCTTGAACCCAGTTCTAGACTGCACTGAACTATGATCGTGCCACTGCACTCCAGCCTGGGCGACAGAGTGAGACTCCATCTCTAAAAAAAGAAAAAAAGAAATACCAAAAGCCAAAACAATAACCAAAGTGTTGTATATTTAGCTTTTTTTTCTTGTTAGTTACATTTCCTTATGCATGCAGGAGTTGAATCAATCATTTCTGAATTCCACTGGTAACTTTTACCTCCAGTAACTGATCCCAGCGCAGCTGCTGTTCCATACCATGGGTGACCCTGTGGCCACCCACTCAGGAATCACTTGCTCCTCATTCTCCACCTTTTCAGTCTTTCTCCTCACAAACCACGCATTTGTGAGTCAGGGTTGTTCTAGTACACTCTACTTCTAATATCGACTGCAATGACTTCTGATACCAACTACCTGGAGTTGGACCAGACTTCACGGGGTAAGGGCACAGCTCTCAAGACTGCCCTCACTTCAGTTGCCAGCCACGAGCATGGGATTCCCAGGCCACCCTCACTTTTGGTTTTGTTGATTCTGTATTTTTTTCAATTCCTTATTTTGTTTATCTCTGCTCTAATTTTTATTATTTTCTAGCTTCTCCTGGCTTTCGGTTTAGTTTGTTCTTTTTCTAGTTCCTTAAGGTGTAAAGTTGGGATATTGACTTGAAATTTTTTGTCTTACTTTTTGTTCTGATAAAATATACACAGTCATGCACTGCACAGCAATGCTCAGTCAAAGAGGAACTGCATGTGCAGTAGTTGTTCCATAAAATTATAACGGAGCAGAAAACTTCCTGTTGCCCAATGACATCCTCGCTGTTGTAACGCTGCGATGCAATGCGTTACTCACTCGTGCGGATGCTGGTGCACGCAAACCGGCTGCACTGCCAGTTGTATAAAAGCGTAGCACACACAATTACGTACAGTACAGAACATTCGATAATGGTAATAAATGGCTATGTTACTGCTTTATGTATTTACTATACTATACATTTTTTTTTTTTTTTTGAGACAGTCTCACTCTTTTGCCCGGGCTAGAGTGCCGTGGCGTCAGCCTAGCTCACAGCAACCTCCAACTCCTGGACTGAAGCGATTCTCCTGCCTCAGCTTCCTGAGTAGCTGGGATTACAGGCATGCGCCACCATGCCCGGCTAATTTTTTCTATATATTTTTAGTTGTCCGATTAATTTCTTTCTATTTTTAGTAGCGACGGGGTCTTGCTCTTGCTCAGGCTGGTTTTGAACTCCTGAGCTCAAACAATCCGCCCGCCTCGGCCTCCCAGAGAGCTAGGATTACAGGCGTGAGCCACCGCGCCCGGCCTCAGCCTTATACTTTTGATTATTATTTTAGAGTGTACTCCCTTACTTACTGCAAAAAGTGCACTGTAAAACAGCCTTAGGCAGGTCCTTCAGGAGGTATTCCAGAAACCATTAACATAGGAAATGACAGCTCCATGCATGTTATTGACCCTGAAGACCTTCGAATGGGACAAGATGGGGACATGGAAGACAGTGATATTGGTGATATGGAACATGTGTAGGCCTAGGTAAATATGTGTATGTTTCTTAGTTTTTAACAAAAAAGTTTAAAAAGTAAAAAAAAAATTTTAATTAAAATTAGAAAAAACTGGCCGGGCGCAGTGGCTCACGCCTGTAATCCTAGCACTCTGGGAGGC